TAGTACTTTGTACTGTCGTGTTTGAGTTTTACATGTTTCTCTAAATTGTTTTCTAATTTGCATTTCTTTATGCTGAAATATACACATGATTATTTTTATTTTCTTTAAGACAGACTAGTAATAAAGAAGTATTAACAATATATATAACTCATATAATTAGCTTTATTTATCAGAAAAATTGGTTGGTTCAGTAGTTTCAATTTGTTGAAGTAAGTTATATTAAACTGAGTGAACCTTAAATTTTGAAACATTATCTGTGTTTTCCTTATGAGTTTTTAAAATATTTTTATGCAAGTCACAAGTATGTCAAAAACTTAAAAAATCTGTGAGAAAACACAGATTACTTTCTTAGTCATTACTTTTATAGATTAATTCACTTTATAGTTAAAGCCAGTAGTCGGGAGTAGCGTGCTAATTATAGAATGCTACTTAAATTTTAGCAATTAACTTAGTGTTGTTACAATAAAATTAATGTAACAAAATATATGTAGAGTATAAAGAAATATAAAGTTCGGGTACAATATTTTTTCGCTACCTATAACATATTTGGTGATAATTAAAATATTATGATAACTTAAATATTTATTTATTTATATTTTAATGATAATACTAAATTTTTTGAGTTTTAACTCACTAGTCTAGTGACCAAATGTCAATATAATCAAAATAAACTAAAAAATACCAGATTTTAATAAGAAAATGTATCGAAAAAAAAATGCAGCAATAATGAGCCAAATTTTAGGAGAAGTAACTGAAGTGTTAACACACTACAAAAAACCAGTTGTGTCCCAACCACTGGTTAAAACTTATCAAATAAAATTGGAATGATGAAATACAAATTTGTTATGTAATACATTTATGAAACAGAAACAATACACCCTATAAAATGTAGCCATTCATTTTCTTAAATAATTTATAATCAACTAACTTTGAGACTTTTAGGTTGTTGTCGTAGCTGCATTGCATGTCTCTTCCGTAAATCACGATGGGCACGAGCACAATAATCATGTTGGTGCTGTAATTCAGTTTCATGTTGTCTAGTTACTTGATCAGCGCGTAAAGCATGAACAGCTCTTTGTTGTCTTGTTTCAAGGTTTCTAGTATCTTCATGATGTCTTAATAACATAGAATGAGCAGTTTCTAACTGTTGTTGTCTTTTTCCAAGTTCCTATAAACATTAAATAAATTTAAAAATAAATACAAATTGTCTCATTTATACTTTTTTCACAATATTATTGGAATAGTAAACAACAGAAACAAAAATACGTCGCCATCGGTCATAGCCAACTCCTATTATTCTCCCGGCCGGCAATGCCCGTGCTTCACTTCACTCAGCACACATATTAAATACCCCCTCCCCCCATGTGCACGAATCAAATACCATCTACTATTATTATTGTGAACAGACTATAGGTCTGGATAAGTTTAGTGAAGCAACTAAATACAATTTTTATTATWARGCTTAACTRATGGCCAACTTTATAAAATTAATTATTCATGATATAAATTAATTTCTCTGTATAATGTATTATTGTTAATTGATGTAATACATCATGATAATATAAACTTTATTTATTGTTCTTGTGAGGTTTTAAATGATTATTCAATATTCAACTCAAATGAATAATCATTGATTGTTAGTTAAAATAATAAAATGAAAGATTGCTCTATATTTATTTACACATGTCATTGGAAATATTTGAATAGATAGTTATGTCACACTTATTCTCTGCCCATATTAAATTGATTATTATTTCTACAATTGAAGATTTTTTATATTTTCTTGAATATTATTGGATATTATYTATTATATATATTTACTCCACGATTATWCAGAAATAACTAATACAATTTATTTAAATTTTTTCTTTTTAAACCAAAGTATAATGTTGCTATTTTTATAAAGGATTTTATAATACATCAATTCAGTGATTACTACACTTTATTATYATATTCAAACACTTCTTATGAAACAATTGGTTTTTTTAATAGTTCTATATATATAAACTGATAGTAAATCCTACTACAGTATTCTTTATACTAGCCCAACCCACTTAAATGTTTATTTATATAATATAAAATAACATTTACCTATTTATAAAGCAGTAATAGCATCAATAATACCTATTTTAGTAGTTCTTAAGCAATTTAATAAGTTTTTGTTTAAGATCGATATTTTGTTTTAAAGAAAATTAATTACTGAATCAACAATTTCCAAATTACTGTTTTGTTTAACAAAGAGCAATCTACTACCATATTAAGACTTTATTGAAATATCRAAAAGATTTGATTAATTGTAACAATTGAATTTAGTATTAAGAAGGCTAATATTTTAGTATTTGACTGATGTAAAATTGTAAATATACATATTATATCTCAATTTACAAATTTTATTGATTATGAGATTCAATTTTATATWATATTTAAACTATGTGGAGGTGGGTAGTGATTGGAATGATGTCACAAATATAACTTATAAAAACACAAAACATCAAAGCATTTACAAATTAAAAGCTAGATTTATAATTTATAGCCATAAATTAACAGAAAACTAAAATYTACAATTAAAATTGCTGAACATGTAAGTATTTAGCTTATTAAGAATACATACTTCTCTTAATAATCCTTGTTCATACAAATGATATTGATTTAGCCTTTTTCTACGAAATTTCCTAATTTCAAGTTCCAAATAGTCTTTTTGACCTCGAATAAGTCTATGTTCTTCTTGAGCTTCCATTTGTTTAAGGTTTTCTTTTTGAGATCTGTAAACAMGATTTAATTTTAAAATATATAACTATTTTATAATATATGCATACTAACTGTAAAGCAGCATCTTTTTGTCGCTTAGGAGTGGATTCATCCAATAATAACTCACGTTTCCATCGCTCTTTATTAGTTTTATAATCTTTTTTTCTTTGAGTGTCAAATGCTTTGCGATCTGCTTCTTGTCTATTGGTTATTTCTTTCATTATTTTCTTTTCAKCAGCAATATTTTGTTTCATCTACATAGAAAAATATACAAAATATTCCTTTATTAAAAAAAAGTTGTGTACCATTATTGTACTAATATTATGTCTTAGGGTGATGTTTTTAGTTATGTTATATTTTCAATTTTTTTAGACATATTATAAATAATTAATAACTAAA